GTCTATGCCCAGGTTTAAATGCTCCTGTCCTCTGGAACATATTCAGCTTCGACAAGCTGCTGCAGATTGGGCAGCTAAAGCAGCTAAACCAATAATTATTCAGACGGGTGACAGTTCTGAAGACTCAGCTGCCTGCAGAGCTGAAATGTGAGACCTGATGGGCGCAGAGACCCCCTGCTGCTCCCCCACAGGGCAGACAGAGCAGCAGGAGAAAGCAAGCCCTTGGGTGTCCTCTCTCCTGCCCCTCCCCATGTCTAATAACATCTCCAAACCCCCATCCATCCCTCCATTTCATGCACTGAAGGTAGGTCTCACTTTGTATTTGGGCAAACACAAACGCCTTGAGTTCAGTGCCTGGAATCCACATAAAGGGAAGAGGAGCGAACCTCACCTCACAGAGTTGTCCTCTGATCCCATAAGTAAACAGCGGCATGTGCGTGCCTACATTCACACACGTGTATCATACACACACATCAATATTAAATTCATTTTTCTCTTTCTTCTTTTTTTTGCGGGGGGGAGAGGGAGGGGAGGCCACAAGGGTGAGGGGAGAAGGCCCGGGGTGCCAGGGTCCGTGATGTGAAATTCCCAAATAATCAATAGAAATATTACAGAAAGGTTAATTTTGTAATTATTTAGAAATTGTATCTGTAGCGTTAATATAGATATCAAATTGTGAGTTTATGCTTGCATCTGCAGTTCCTGATCGTTCAGTCGGAATTTCTATGTCCAGCATCCCCTAAGTTGGTGTCTTCCTTATTGTCTCAATTTCAATTTTCAAACCTTGAACTGTTTCCTTCATCTGTTTAATTACTTTTTCTTGGCTTTCTTTGATTTCTTCTAATTTTTTGTTTGTTTTTTTCTTCCATTTCTTTAAGGGAATTTTTTATTTCCTCTTTAAGGGAGTTTTTCATTTCCTCTTTAAGGGCCTCTATCATCTTCTTAAAGTCATTTTTAGGACTGATTTCTTCTGCTTCTTCTGCATTGGTATGCTCAGGTCTTGCAGGTGTAGAATCTATGTTCTGATGTTGTCATATAGGTCTTTATGTTGTTGCCTGTATTTCTGCACTGGCGTCTACTCATTTCTTCCTCCGCTCGTTATAGGCGCTGTCTGTGTCTGAAGGTGCCTCTCTTGTTCCAATTGATAGTCTTGGTCCACTGGGACTTCTTGGTCAAATCGGTGCTGTTGGGCTCTGTTTCTCCGGGAGCATCTTAGTCCAATCAGTGTGAGTGGATTCTGTCTCAGAGAGCAGCTGTTCCCACTTGGTGCAGGGTGGCCTTATGGCTCCAGTGGTTGTTGGGTTCCCAGGGGCTGGTGTTTTTTTGGTGAGGGAGCAGGGAAAGGTGAGCTTTTGGGTCCCTGGGGCTCCGATGGCTGGGGCCTAGGGGCAAGAGACCTGATCTACTGGACCAGCGATGGGGCCTTACCTGTTCACAGTCTGTGTAGGGTGGGCTTAAGATTCTGGCGATCTGGTTCGGTGGCTGAGTGGCACCTTCTTTTGTGTTCTCAGGTCACATTTTGCTCGCTCGTCAACTCCTCAGCTGATCTGGTTTCCTCAGACTGCAGGCTGCAGGCTTCTGAAACCTCTCCGGAATGGATCTCAGCTGAACGGGTTGATCAGTAGGGCAATCTCACCAGCACCTCCAAGTTGTTGGGTTTCGAAGGATCAGCAGCTGGGCCCTGGGTTGGCCTCGGGCAGAATGTTTG